GATGGACCACTGGTCTGAGCCACTTGGCTCTTCTTATGTTCTTATGAAGGCCTCGGCCTCTCTGCCCTGTTGTTGGCATCCAGAGGAACTGGTTGGCCACTGTGTGAGACAGGAGGCTGGACTCGATGGACCACTGGTCTGATCCAGCAGGGCTCTTCTGATGTTCTTAGGAAGGCCTCAGCCTCTCTGCCCTGTTATTGGCCCTCCAGAGAAACTGGCTGGCCACTGTGTGAGACAGGAGGCTGGGCTAGATGGACCGCTGACCCGATCCAGCAGGGCTCTTCTTATGTTCTGAATTAAGGTGTTTTTTTGGGGGGGCGGGCGGGATTAATTCACTCCCATGGTTTTTTTGGTACAATTTTAGATTTTCTTTTTACGCTTGGTTCTTATATTTTTATTTCAGATTAGATCCATGCAATCCAGCTATTATACATGACATTCAAGAAACGAGAATACTGAGTTTACAAACTGGAAATGTTTCAAATCTACCAAAAAAAAAAATCATCACATTGTTGCCTCCACATGACTTTAAGCTTGTTTCCAAATCCAATCCAATCCAATTTTAGATTTTCCCGTTAAATGAGGGAGGCGGGGAGTGTCCCCCTGAATTGTGGCTGGCCTCGTCGCACAGTGTTCTTGGCCTGTTCTATCCCCCACAGGGCCCCGCCCTTCCTTGTTAGAGAGACCATCTATATACACATCCCTGCTGGCTCTGAACAGCCTTGCTTTGCCTGTTGAAACACGGGTCCCCGTTCCCTCAAAAGTAGAATCTGTGTGAGACCAAATTGGCCAGGGAGTCATTGTTTGTCCTGTGAAATCGATCCCGGCAACGGGAAACATCTTGCCAAGGCCATGGCTACACATCAAAATTACGTCGTACACAGAGATGCCTCATTGTAGCAAAGAAGACAGCTGTTGACGGAAGCTGAATTGTAATAGAAGAGGAATTTGCTGGTCTTTGCCCTGGGTTTTCCCAAATAAGGAGATAACTGATGCTTCTTGGATTGTGTAAACGGGTGGCTTTTGGTCAGGAAAGTAGCAAGACTGAGAGAGGTTGTTACTGGGAAATGGCCTGGCCAAGAGACGGAGAGGTCCATCAGGGTTTCTAGCTTTCTTCCATATTTAGATATAGACCTTCCAGAAGCTTCTAGAAAAGGGAAGAGGAGAAGAAGAAGAAGAGATTGGATTTATACCCTGCCCTTCACTACCCAAAGGAGTCTCCAAGCGGCTCACAAACTCCTTTCCCTTCCCCTCCCCACAACAGACACCCTGTGAGGTAAAAGAAGAAGAAAAGATTGGATTTATACCCCGCCCTTCACTCCCTGAAGGAGTCTCAGAGCAGCTTACAATCTCCTTTCCCTTTTCGTCCCCACAACAGACACCCTGTGAGCAATGTTCCCTCTAAGCTGTGGAGTCTTGTGAGCAAAATTCTACTTTGTGAGCTACTGGCATTAAAAGTTGTGAGCAAGAGATTTGGCTGCTGCATAAATCAGTTTGCTCTGGAGCCCTCCTCCTTGAGCTAAGACAAAAATGTGTGAGCCGGAGGCTAAAAAACTGTGAGGTAGCTCACACTAACTCAGCTTAGAGGGAACACTGCCTGTGAGGTAGGTGGGGCTGAGAGAGCTCTTTCGAGGACTGCTCCCGAGAGAACAGCTCTGAAAGAACTTGTGACTGACCCAAGGCCACACTAGCAGCTGCATGTGGAGGAGTGGGGAATCAAACCCGGTTCTCCCAGATTAGAGTCCGTGCTCCTAACCACTACACCAAACTGGTCTGATCCAGCAGGGCTCTACTAATGTTCTTATGAAGCCCTCGGTTTCTGTGTCCTGCTGTTGGCCCTCCAGAGGAACTGGTTGGCCACCGTGTGAGACAGGATGCTGGACTAGATGGACCATCACTGCCACAGGAGGTGGTGGCAGCTACAAGCCTGGACGGCTTCAAAAGGGAATTAGATAAGCATATGGAGCAGAGGTCCATCAGTGGCTATTAGCCACAAGGTATAGATAGGGGCTCTGGGGCAACTGATGCTCTGTCTTCTTGGTGCTTGGGTGGGTGGTCAACAGTGGGAGGGCTTCTAATGTCCTGGCCCCACTGGTGGACCTCCTGATGGCACCTGGTATTTTTGGCCACTGTGTGAGACAGGACGCTGGACTAGATAGACCACTGGTCTGATCCAGCAGGGCTCTTCTGATGTTCTAAATAAGAGTCAGGCTTTGAGTAAGAAATTCAGTCATTGCATTTCAGTTCCCACAAGTGCTGTCTTTATCTTAATATCCTCTGCCGCAGTACAAACAGTTTTTAGAACCCCTTTTTTCCCAGCACCACACGGGGACCTTTTGGCTTAGGTTGTTTTTGGCCAGCAATGGTTCTCTAGGGCAGTGACCTTCCCGGGATTTTCCCAGGAAGTCTGAGTGGCCAGTCCACCCAGCCCTTAGCTCCATTAAGTCAGCCAGAGAACTCTCAGTCATTGACAGTCCAATCTTCTGCGTGTCTATTCAGAAGCAAATTCTGCAGAGTTCAATGGCCCTTAACTGCCCCAGTAAGCATGCATAAGACCAGGTCTCTTTTTGTAGAAAAAGCCCAGCAGGAACTCATTAGCATAATAGGCCACACCCAACAGCAGAAACTCATTAGCATATTAGGCCACACCCATGACAGCTCAGCTCATTAGCACATTAGGCAGCACCCCCATGTTACCAGAAGTGTGGTCATCCAGCCACACCCACCTTTTGCTTCTTATTCTGTTTACCTTATTTGTTGTAAAAACCCGGGGCCTTTTTTTGTAGCAGGAACTCCTTTGCATGTTAGGGCACACACCCCTAATGTAGCCAATCCTAATGAGTTTCTGCTGTTGGGTGTGGCCTATTATGCTAATGAGCCTGCTGGGCGTGGCCAACTCAGGAGCCAGCCGGAACTCCGCTCCTGTGCGTTCCTGCCCCAAAATAGCCCTGCATAAGACCAACCCACCAAAGAAGAAGACGACGATGACAAGAGATTCGATTCATACCCTGTCCTTCACTCTGAGTCTCAGAGCAGCTTACAATCTCCTTCCCTTCCCCTCCCCACAACAGACACCCTGTGAGGTCAGTGGGGCTGAGAGAGCTCTCAGAGAAGAAGAAGAAGAGAAGAGATTGGATTTATACCCAGCCCTTCACTATCCAAAGGAGTTTCAGAGCGGCTTACAAACTCCTTTCCCTTCCCCTCCCCACAACAGACACCCCGGGAGGCAGGTGGGGCTGAGAGAGCTCTGACAAAAACTGCCCTTTTTCAAGAACAGCTCTTATCAGAACTACGGCTTGCCCAAGGTCATCCAGCAGCTGCGAGTGGAGGAGTGAGGAATGAAACCCGGTTCTCCCAGATTAGAGTCTCAGCACTTCACCGCTATACCAAACTGGCTCTCCCAGAACTGCTCAAGAGAATAGTTCTAGCAGGGCTCTTTTTGTAGAAAAAGCCCAGCAGGAACTCATTAGCATAACAGGCCACACCCAACACCATGAACTCATTAGCATATTAGGCCACAGCCCTGACAGCACAGTTCATTATCATATTAGGCCACACCCCCATGTTACCAGAAGTGTGGTTATCCAGCCACACCCACCTTTTGCTTCTTATTCTGTTTACCTTGTTTGTTGTCAAAACCCAGGACCTTTTTGGTAGCAGGAACTCCTTTGCATGTTAGGCCACACACCCCCTACTGTAGCCAATCCTAATGAGTTTCTGCTGTTGGGTGTGGCCTGTTATGTTAATGAGTCCCTGCTGGGTGTGGCCAACTTGGGAGCCAGCCGGAACTCCGTTCCTATGTGTTCCTGCCCAAAATAGCCCTGGTTCTATGAGAACTGTGACTGACCCAAGGTCACCCAGCTGGCTGCATGTGGAAGAGTGGGGAATCAAACCCAGTTCTCCAGGGTAGAGTCCAGCGCTCTTAACCACTATGCCAAATTGGACATCTATGTGGCCTGTGATTATTGTCTGCCATTTTGATTTCAGAAATCACATTCATTTCCCCCCTTGTCCAACAGTATGAGGCGACTTCAGGTTCCTCCAGGGGGTCTGATCTCTGCAGTCTTGAGGTTCAGGTGTAATAGCGGGAGATCTCCAGATCCCACCTGGAGGTTGGCAACCCGACCTTGTAGAACGGTGATGGGCGGCCAGGGGGGCAATGGGGCAGGGCAGAGGCAGAGGCATCACGGGAAGGTGGACCGGGCTCCCCCCCCCCCGCCGCCGCCCTTTCCGAAGGGTTATATTGCATGGCCTCCAGTCCGGGCGGGGCGCGCGGCCGTTCCTTCCCCCCAAGAAGAGGTGGGACCAGCCAGGCGCGCGTCCGGAGCCTCCGGAGCGCGCCTGCGGACCCTCCAGAGCGCAGGAAGAGACGGTTTTTCAAAAAGTGGGTTGGGATTGAGGAGGGGGGCGCAGAGGAAGGAGGGGAGGGCCGAGCCGCTCCCGGAGGCGTCGCGGCCGCGGCGCAAAGGCAGGGCTCGGCAGACTGCGCGACAGCCGGCTCCTCTCCCGATGGCGAAGGGTTAGAGGCACGGCGAGCACCCGCGGATGGCGCGCCCAGCTCGACGCCCGGAGTTCCGCGGGGCTTCTTCAGCCGGGAGGCGGTGCGTGGGGATGCCGCCCTCCTAAAGACGCTCTCGGGAGCCCGAGCTGAGACGGTGAGGGGGCTGCTGGGGGCTGCGGCGGCTTTGGGAGGAAGAACCTTTCGGGGGAGGATGGAACCAACCCGTGCGCCCTGGGCGCGCCGCCGGGCGAGGGGACGTGCAAAGCCGTCCAGAGGCGCGGCTCTGCCGTCGGGGCTCAGCCCGGTGGGGGAGAAAGGGGCGGGGGAGAGGCTCGCTCCAAGCCCCTTCCACACACCCCCGCCGTCTGGCACATCAGCAGTCTTGCCTAGCGGGCAGCGCAAAACCAGAAGGCACATCGGCGTGCCCAGCCTTGACGCGCGCGAAGCGAAGAAGGCACCCGGCTTTGCGCTCCGTCGAGTCGGGGAGAGCGCGGGCGGGGGCGAGGTGGGGCTTTCAGTCGACGGATTTCTTCTGGCGGGGGGGTGGGGAGCGGCGGCGCAGGAGGGTGTCCATAGCAGGGGGGAATGTGGCTCCCGAAAGGACGCTTTCGTTGAGCAATGGGGGTCTGGGGGGGGGGCGGAGGTTCTGTCGGGGCGCGTTTATGTCAAACTCTCCGTCTTTCCGAGGAAGGGAGTTTTGGCTCTGGAAGGGGAAGGGAAAGGAGTAGTGGGTAGTGAAGGGCAGGGTACAAATCCAATCTCTTCCTCCTCCTCCTCCTCCTCTTCCTCCTCTTCCTCTTCTTCTTCCTCTTCCTCCTCCCCTTCTTCTTCTTCTTCCCCCTCTTCCTCTTCTTCTTCTTCCACCCCGAATCTTGTTGGTCTCTAAGGTGCATCTGGGTTCGAATCTAGCTCTTTTCAGTGTTTCCAGGTTGTCTTGCAAGTTTAACATATTAGGTGGGGCGACAGAATTGGGGGGGGGCACAAACAGATACATAAAACGATGAGGTCACAGAGAAGTCGCCTTTCCCCGAGTGCAAATCTTTCTCGGCTCTGTTTGTCAGCCGGAAAGCGTGCCAAATGGACGGGGAGCGGGCGGAGAGGAGAGAGACCCGATCCGCGGCTCTTTTTCCTCTGCAGACTTCGCTTTTTGACGTCCAATATTTGTTGCGATATTTTCCTGCCAGATTTGCAGATTAATGTGCGTGCGTGTGTGTGTGTGTGTGTGCGTGCGCGCAGAAGGGGGTAATGAGAAGCAGGAAGGAGAGACGGGGGGGAATGACAGACCACGAGGAAAGGAAAGGAGGCAAGGGGAGAAAGAACAGCGCCAGGGCTCCGGAGGCAGGGGTGAGGCGCCGCGGGTCTTCGATTGGTGGGTCCCCCCCTCTTCCTCCCTTTCTGCTAGTATAGCCCCCCCCCAGGGGGTGTACTAGCGTATACAATTCTGTTTGAGGGTCAGGGAAGGACCAGGAGGGCTGTGGCTCAAGTGGTAGAGCCTCTGCATGACACGCAGAAGGTCGCAGGTTCCATCCCCGGCATCTCCAGTTATTAGCTGGACTAGGCAGGAGGTGATGGGAGAGACGTCCGCCTGAGACCCCAGAGAGCCGCTGCCGGCCCGAGTAGACGATACTGACCTCGATGGACCCCCCGGTCTGATTTAGCTTAAGGCAGTTTCGTGTGTGTTTAGGGAGGGGCCGTGGCTCAGCGGTAGATCTTCAGCTCTGCATGCAGGAGGTCCCAGGTCCAATCCCCGGCATCTCCAGTTCAAAGGACCAGGCAGAAAGCGAAGAGAAAGACCTCTGCTGGAGCTGCCCATCTGAGTAGATAATAGTGACTTCGATGGACTGAGGGTCTGATTCAGTATAAGGCAGCTTCAGGTGTTCGGGTATTATAGGGAAGGAGCCGTGGCTCAGTGACAGAGCCTCTGCTTGGCACGTAGAAGGTCCCAGGTTCAATCCCCGGCATCTCCAGTTCAAAGGACCAGGCAGGAGGGGATGGGAAAGACCTTGACCTGAGACCCTGGCTCTGTGGCAGAGCACCTGCTTGGCATGCGGAAGGTCCCAGCCTCTGCTTGGCGTGCAGAAGGTCCCAGGTTCAATCCCCCTCATCTCCAGTGGACCAGGTAGTGGGTGATGGAAAAGACCTCTCTGTCCGAGACTTTGGAAAGCCGCTGCGAGTCAGAGTGGACAATATTGACCTTGATGGACCAAAGGGTCTGATTGTCTGCAAGGTAGCTTGCTGTGTTCTTGTAAATGGGGGGCAACCGTTCTGTTGGAGCACCTGTGGAACGGGGTTTGGAGGGGATCTTGGGGGGCACTTTGGGGGCTTGAGAAACAAGACAGCTTGCTATGTTCTTTTTAATAGGGGGGGGGCAACTGTTCTGTTGGCGCACCAAACGGGGTTTGGAGGGAATCTTGGGGGGCACTTTGGGGGCTTGAGAAGCGCCCCCTTCTCTCCGCGAGGGACCCCCCTCGGGCTGCCTGTGGCTGCAAAAGGGCTAAACCTACCGCGAGCCTAACGCGCGCTTCTCTCTCTCTCCCTCCCTGCAGGGTCAAGATGCGCGGCGCGCTGGTGTTGCGCGCCTGGCTGGCGGCGGCGGCGGCCTACCTGGCCGGGCCGAGCGCGGGCTGCCCGGAGCCGTGCGCCTGCGTGGACAAGTACGCGCAGCAGTTCGCCGACTGCGCCTACAAGGACCTGGAGGCCGTCCCTCCGGGGCTGCCGTCTAACGTGACGACGCTGAGCCTGTCGGCCAACAAGATCGCCGCCCTCCCGCGGGGCTCCTTCGCGGAGGTGACGCAGGTGACCTCGCTGTGGCTGGCGCACAACCGGATCGGGGCCATCGAGGCCGGCACGCTGGCCCTCCTGGAGCAGCTGAAGAACCTCGACGTGAGCCACAACCAGATCGCCGACTTCCCCTGGGGGGACCTGCGGAACCTGAGCGCCCTGCAGCTGCTCAAGATGAACAACAACCGCATGGCGCTCCTGCCGGGCGACGCCTTCCGCACGCTGCGCGACCTCCGCTCGCTCCGCATCAACAACAACCAGTTCACCGCCGTGGCCGAGGGGACCTTCGAGCCGCTGACCTCCCTCTCCCACCTCCAGATCTACAACAACCCCTTCGACTGCTCCTGCCGCCTGATGTGGCTGAAGAACTGGACCGAGAACACCCTCATCTCCATCCCGGAGAGGGACGCCATCCGCTGCGCCTCCCCGGAGAAGCTCCAGGGCCTCCCGCTGGCCCGCATCCCCTACCTCCGGTGCGCGCCCCCCAGCCTCCAGCTGAGCTACCACCCCAACCTGGAGCGCACCCAGCTCCACTACGGCTTCACCCTGGCCTTGCACTGCCAAGCCGCCGGCCTGCCGCAGCCCGAGGTCGGCTGGACCGTCCGCACGGCGACGGGCGAGACGCTGGAGATAAGCAGCCCCACCTCGGAGGGAGACGGCAACGCTTTGCCCCCGGAGAGCGCGCCCCCCGGGCAGACGCCGGAGAGGTTCCGCGCCTTCGCCAACGGCACCCTGCTCATCCCGCGCCTCAGCAAGAAGGAGGAGGGCACCTACACCTGCGTGGCCGCCAACGAGGTGGGCCGGAACCAGAGCTCGGTCCACGTGGCCGTGGCCGACCCCCGGAAGGACCCCTCCGCCCCGCTGGGCGACCCCAAAGCGCAGCCGGGTGGGAGGAAGGCGGCCGACGGCAAGGTCTCCAAGAACAGCGTCATGGAGCCCGAGGAGGGGGGCAAGGGGACCCCTGCCAAGCCCACCCCTCGGGGGCCTCCCTGGGCCGGCCCCCGGAACGCCAGCGGCGGGGAGGAGCCCCCCTTCCGCCCGCCCCACTTCGAGAAGAAGTGCGGCGCCGGCGGGCCCCCCCGCTACGTCTCCAACCGGGCCTTCAACGAGAGCGCGGAGGCGGCGCCGCTCAAGCCGCACAGCTTCGACCTGGGCGTCATCGCGCTGGACGTCTCGGAGCGGGAGGCCAAGGTCCAGATCACGCCCTTCTACACCCGGCCGGAGAAGGCGCACCTGCGGATGCTCTACCTGTGCGAGGAGCGCGGCGGCCGCGCCCCGGTCCAGTGGTCGCAGGTGGAGGAGGGCGTCAACGCCTACTGGTTCCAGGGCCTGCGCCCGGGCACCAACTACTCCGTCTGCATGACCTACGCCGACGAGGCGTGCCAGGTGCAGGTGGTCTTCACCACCAAGGCCGAGGTCCCCTCCCTCCTCATCATCGTCGTGGTCAGCGTCTTCCTCCTCGCCCTGGCCACCGTCCCCCTGGTGGGCGCCACCTGCTGCCACCTCCTCGCCAAGTACCAGGGCAAGACCTACCGCCTGATCATGCGCGCCCAGAACCCGGACCCGATGGAGAAGCGCATGGCCGCCGACTTCGACCCCCGGCCTTCCTACCTCGAGTCCGAGCGGAACTACGAGCCCAGCGAGGTGGGGGGGGAGGGAGGCGGGGAGGGGGAGGA